AAAATATCTGCCCCCGATGTGACGTTCGAGTGCCAAGGCCAGAGATCTTTCCATGAAATCACGTCCATGTAGTAGGTTTTTAGCCTCAGAAGCGGATTCTAGCCCAAATGGCTGTAACACTTCATTGCACAAAATCAATGAATAAAAGTTTTAGATCAATAACAATACGAGTGTTGTAAGAACTGAAATTATTAAAAATAAATCGGAAGATTTTAAGATGAGTGTATTTCCGGAACATCAGTATATAATTTTTACACATTTCCATATTCTGTCGATATTTGTTTTTATTGAAATACAACTTTATCGTTGTAACTTGATAACAAGGCATATATAAGCATAATTTTATTCGTTGATATTGTTGATATTGTATAGACTCAATTAGTCAGTATCTTATGGCATACGTATATCCTGAGCGGATTGCCTAGATAGTGCAATTAAGTGACAGGTAGTTTTAGACAAAGTTTGACATTTAATTTCATTTGTAATAGTTCGAATCTCCTTCTTAATGGAACTATTGAGGTGTTACTCTCAAGACGATCATATGTTAAAAAAACTAAACAGCTGCAGTTTATAAACAACAATAACGGAATAGTTCAAACAATCGCATATTGAATTATAAATACACAAGTTCATAGATATTTGAATTTACTAACAGATTACATGACTATAAATTCTACTTCGAAACACAGTTGATGTGAGTGAAAATGATATTGTCTAAACAGAAGTAAATGAAGTGGAGTTCAAAAGTGAAATTTGAATTCTTCAATCGCTAAGCCATCGATTCTTATCACGTGCACTTACTGATAAGCTTTTTCATTCATGTTCTTGAGAAAAAAAATTTTAGTGGAGTAATTATGTCATTTTTATAATAACACCCATTCTCTATTTTTGGCATGTTACTTTTGATTCGGAAAATGCAGAAAGATCACAGTATATTTGGTTAATTAAGTAAAAATCTGTAAACAAATTAGATGAATACGTATCAACGATGTGTAGCACAAACTATCAGTACGAGTGAGAATGTTGTTCAACGAAAACAAGAGTTTTGAGGAATGCACAATAGTAGGTAAACAAAGAGGATATTCTATTTGTCCAGTTTAGTTGGTTAGATGCATCACTTTATTACGAATTAACGAACATTTTCGGTAAATATGAATGGCATTAATGGAAATGATAGTCGGTTGATTAGTATTAGATTTATTTTAACAATATAATAAACTTACAATAATGGAGTAAAAGAGAAAGTGACACGCTATCAAATATACAAAATTCCGTTGATCATTTTGATCGGAAACATTCAACTACGATAAAATTTAGTGTACTAGAGTTAGATATCAAACAACTGACCCAAACAGCAGTTGCCACTTTGCACTATTAGATCGATAAATTGAGTTATAAGATTTCGGCAGCACTACTCAGTCAAATAAGTTCTTGCTAATGAAAATAGTCTTGAAGTCAGGTTTCATTTTGTGCTGGTTTATTATACATGGTCCATCAGTGAAAGTCACGATTTCGTGTTCGGTAAGTAATTTTTAGCTATCAAAACGTCATAAAAACTGTATTATACGATACTCCGATGCTGCTCGGTTGTTAACTAGATGTTACGAAATTTACCTGAGAAAAAAGAATGACGTAAGATGAACACTACTGATTGTGATATGATTATTCACGCTTGAGAGAATGAGTCTACTTAACTGTAAAGCATGAAAAAGGTAACCGAAAAAAACATTTGTTTGTTTGAATTGTATAACATTTACGTATTTTGTCGAAGAAATTGTTGTTTAGTTGTTAAATATGGGTTAAAAATGGGTTAAAGAGATTGATCACCAGGATTTCTTCAGACAACAGGCACACGATACATCTGAGAGCATGGCGTAGGTAGAACATTTGGACATCAGAGTAGAACGCATTTAAAAGCTAACTAGGTTGGATAACACATGGCAAGATGCAAAGGGATGGTCAAAAGCTGTGTGTACATATTAGATATACAATTTATAAGTTTTTTTTTCACATTACTGCCAGACTTGAAGTGTGTTGCCGATTCTAGTGTCGTTTTATATATTGTTTCATGCATTTATTATTATTGGCTTTATTCGATATTATATTTTTGGTACAATATAGAATTCTCAGCACCAATTATTCCAACAGGTTTACTTTTCTTATTCCTTTGTCGATCCTTGCGATAAATATTGAGTGGTCGCCATTTAAATGTTAAAAGTTCAGGAATCAACAGCTGAATAATGTATATTCTTTTGGATTAATGCAGCCAGCAACCACGACATCTGATTGGGCTCTTTTGTAACTTGTGTAGTGAAATGTCGTTAACTTCTCACAAACGCATCTGAATAGATTATGAGACTAATAGACATAATGCTGTGTTAAAACAAACAAGAAAAAAAGTTAACGAGTTGAATTATCCAGATTAGGGGAACGGGTATCCCAGATATTCAAGCAGGCCGTTAATATGAGCCATGAAAAAATATTTTTCTGTATCGGACGACACAAATGATAGTTATTCATCGCATTGCGAGTTTTAAAACTTTCCAAGCATGAGTTAAAATTCTTCGAGGAGAATTTCTGAACTTACGTTTATGCAAACTACTAATAATATATTAATAGTAGAATGATCCCGATGAACAGTATGCTTTATTGTTAAAATAAGCATATATTACTCAAAACGTATATTTTCATACTTATTAAAACACAAAAAGAAAAACATGAGTCTAATAAAATTTTGTAACCAGTGAATTGAATTTTTTCAATTTCTAAAAATTATAATTATCTCAACCTCCTTCTTATAATTGATTAGTTAAACATTTGACAATATCTTCATAAATCATTGTCAAATTGTTATGTGATTATGCAACACTACTAGTCTATTAGTGTGATTTTACTATCATTTACATAGAAGTGTAGAGCCTCAATGTAAAGCTTATCATAAAGAAATAGAGCTTTGCATTATTCGTCTTGATTTCAATATACCATAATTAGTATTGAATTAATAGAGCATAGATATTTTGGCAGATTAGTAATGGAACTATTTAATTGATACTGTGGTTTTAAATACACATCATGTATCTTTCCATCAGCACTTATACACACTGTCTACAAATTGACATTTGTGAAGTGACTTACATAAACTTTCAAATTTTATAAAGTTATAGCAACTATCCTATAAACCATTTCGACCACGGATAATATTTGGCCAAGTCCTTTTATTAACTTACTTAACAGACAACGTTATTTGAACAGTAACAATTCGAATATTTCTTTGTAGCGTTATGGTCATTAGAGCACATGACACACTCTAGCTAAAATGTTGATTGCTTAAATATCACTCGAAGTTTCATCCTCCTCCCCATGTATATATGTGTTCAAACCATATTATTAGCTTAGCTTTGTTTTGATTTGATTTGATTTGCCCTTATTCGATTTGACTATAAATTTGCCTATGTAATTGCTCGTATATACTTATTGGCATCTCTGCTTCAAATTTACTCGATGTGCTTATGGCTTTGTAATGTTGGCTATATGTTAATAAACTGTAGTTGCCGCTTCTCATTTCCTTGTGATTTCAATCACTGTTGATAATTATATTATAACTGTTATTGAGGTGATCGATTAAAAAAGCAAAGTCACTACAAATTACATGTAAACTACTTAACGTGTATGCTGATGATTTCGTTAAAAATGACGATAAGATTTCCTTGATCAAACCATCCAGCTCAGAGAATAAAACTTCACCAAAACTCATTCGAAATAAAAATAACCATTTTATTTGCTACCAATGACATTAGTATTATTATTTAGTAATAATCTTAACAGCTTAATAATTTCATGATAAATATTGTCTATCATTGTGAAGGTCTATAATTTATTTCAATCTTGTTTTACTCAAAACTTATATTATGAATATATAGTATGAGTTCTATTTACATAAGATTTGTGTTAGAAAATATAAAAAGTCAAACGTTATTTAATCCTTATTTTAATTAATCGCAGTGTTATCTAGATGTTTGTATTTTCCTTGCATAAACGAGATTAATTCATGGTTAAATCTCATTTTAAGGTGGATTTTGAACAAGTAAATTATATTGAGAGTATCAGTGGAAATTTAAAAAAACATTAAAGTTTTATAATTTTAGGGAAGTGTCACTTTGACATGAGATTGCGGACTTATCATAGTTAAATAATCATTAGAAGTCTAAAAGAATATCTGTTTAGTGAATATTCACCGCACAAACGTAGATCGAACTTAAGAATTGAAGTCTGGCGTTTGAACGTCTAAACTAAGCCCAAATCCAACTTTAATCAGTTCATGATATCGCTCAATTAACTTAAGTGACTGAGACACACTCAAAATGGTTGAATTCCGTCGATCGTAGTTTTTCACTAGAACTCCGTTGTCTACCACTCTAAATTAGTCACTAGCTAAAGTATAACGAACAGATAAATAAATACTACTTAGTCATAGCATATATAGAAACAACATGGACTACAAATCTATGTTATTTTTTCTTGCGTAACAACAAAAAATAACTAGATATTTTGGCTGCTAAATCTATTTGAAGTAATTTCATAAAAAAAACACATTCGCCAACTAACGTTTAGGGCAGATAAAATAGACCAATGAGGGAATACATGTATTTATTGGACGACAGTAACAATAGTGATTGTAGTAGTAGAAGTAGAAGTAGTAGTAGGAATTCTCAAACCCAACTTAAAATTGTTTTTTATATCATCATTATTATTATTACTACTAACGTTATTCTTATTCGTAATAATATTGTTATTTCCTTACTATTTGATGTTTGTGCTTTTCTTTCCACTTCTAGTTATTTAAATTAACGAATTGGAGAAGAGATTTCTCTTCTGTTTATGCTTGTCATACCTATAAAGGAAAAACAAACAAACAAACAAACAAAACATCATAAATGAATAAATAAAAATGAAGGAAAAACAAGAAAAGAAAATAATCTTTAAATGGTCCAGAGACAAACATTAATGTCTGTCAAACGGATAAAATCAAATTATCTTTGATAAATTTTTTTGTGAAAGAAAAAAAGCAACAAAAAAGAACTAGATGTATAAAAGGTAAATGAAAAAACCTGACATGTTCACTGTTACTAAGAAGACCAATGATAAAGAAGGGATCAACTTGGTGTTTATTTATTTACTATTAATATAATTTTATTGAATAGTTATTCATTTGTAAACAGTCGAATAATACTGTCTCTTTAAAAGTGTAAATGACATTGATAATTAATTGGATTACATATAATTTGGATAAAATTATAAATGAAAGCATTATGTTATTATATTGAACGGATCATAAAAGATGAATGAAACAATAGATTACAATACATTTACTTGATAAATATTGTTTATTAACAATAAAGCATAATATTTGATGGTATTTTCAACTGTATATACATTATTTGAAGAATATGAATGCAACTGATTGATGAGGTACATTTCAATTGTATATGATAGATAGTGAATTCATCAAAGTATGATTTTATTTATATGTGAAGAATATGTGTTAAAATTGCTTCAAACTTGTTTGTTCTTCACTTGGTATATTACAACAATCAATCATCATTATAGTAAGTTATTTGTTATAGATTTAGATAATACTCAGTTGTGAAATGCTTATTGCTTAAAACGATTTATTTATATTTACATATATAAGTATATAAACATTCTGAGTATTAACTATGTATAGTAATGAAACTAGCGATACGTTTACTTGCCTCCTTTACTATAGAGAAAAACTGGTAAAAATCTAGTTGGCTATCATGTTGAGTAAAAGACTATCTGGTAAATAGTTATAATATAACAATAATTATAGTCATCCCAATACTAAGCTTGTATTATAAAATTTTGTTTATGGTTTCTTCTAAAAATATGATATATTTTTTTACAGGCTTAAACATATTCAGGTTTAAATATATTCAGTTAAAATGGATCAAGATAGAAGTATTCTTTTGTTACAGATTTACCTATATATTGGATTATATGAAAGTTGAAGTACGATTATAGATTACTAATTTAAAACATTTCTGTGAGTCTAAAATGGTTATTTAAAATCTTTAGAATTAACGTTCCATTTAAGGCAAAACTTCGTAGGCAACGTCTGATAATGATTTTTGCATAAAATACCAAGTTTTGGTAAATGTGAAACATGTATGAATATATTATGGTTGTAAACGATTAGAAAGATTTAGATTACTTCCTTAATGAAGATATGATGTTTACTAGTGACAATAATATTTTCAGTTTATTTTATTTCAAAAAAATTGATATAAGATTCTACAGTAATGACCCACTCAATGTTTTCATTAAACCCTTTAGTTCTTATTGTGATTACGATAAAATATAACTAATGAGTCAATCATCTGTTTGCTCAAATCCTTTATATGACATATAGTAACTCCACTAATTTTATCAGTTGATTTCTAATGGTTACAAAAGTATCATTTAGTTGAAAGGTTCGTTATGATTGTTTGTCATGAATTTGGTTTTTATCATCGTTGGATATCACCTTAATATCCATTGAAAAATGAAGATTATTATTATTGCTTTTGTTGTATTTACTGACAATCTAGTTCAAATTTTAAGTTTTAGGCAATTCATTCATTTCTAAATTAAGGTAATATAGTATTGATAAATATATTATTCTCTATTAGTTTTACGTTACACTGGTAACTATTATCGTTGTTCCTTATAACATAAGAGTCATCAATATTTCCTATGATTTATTATCGATTTTGTTTTAAAAATATATCATTGAGGCTCAAAAAATCTACACATAATTAATTGGAAAAAATCCCAATATTCTAAACCACAGTATTCTAAACACACGAAGTGAATAATTTGAATATAACATGATAAATGTGGTAGACCGATAATAAAAAATTTTGGTAGGGTTTATTTTAGTTATTTGTACATTCTTTGATCTATAGGGTTTACTTATTATTTTCTTTCAGACCTAAGGTTATATAACAATGAAGAAGCTTATCATATATATTGTGGTATACCTATTACCATAAAAGTTTCATTGTTATCTGACTACACATATAAGTTATTTGTCTACCTGAAAATTAAAGAAGAACACTTAAAAATGAACTATTGACTCTTTGAATTAGGGGAGTAATTTAAACATTTATATTTGATTCTTTAAGTAAATCAAGTGATTTTCTAGAAATCTATATATCTGTACTTTCATAATCATAACTTATGGTTGAGTATAACGTAACATTCTAATAAAAGTATGAAACCTTAAAGATAACAATAATTATAGTATATTGACAAAGTATTTCTGAATTGTTAGGATCTATTTTCTAATTTATACTTTAGACAGATAAATGAAACTCATTAGGACTAAAAGTTTGGAACATGAAGTTTTATATGAACGTTGTTTTGAGATATTACACTTTACAATAAAGTTAACTATAACAATCATAAATAAACTTAAAGTTAACTCCTGTATATTCAGTCTTTTTCTGTGAATCGATCCTATTAATGCTTGCTTACAAATTGTATTTAGCACTTCATCATGTTGTAGCAATTACATTCTTCCATATATAATTTAGAGTATTTTGTTTAACGAAAGATTTCAATAACAGTCAAATATGTGAATAAAAATAAACTGACTATTTACTTTAATGAAGAAAAACCAAATATTCTTTGGATTATAAACAATCCAATATAGAAAAATGGACTGTGATCTGCTGAACCGTAGGACTTCAATTTCATTGCTTCTAATACTGGGCTATAAGATTTACTTACCATTTTGAGTTAACTTCTACTACTTGTGAGATTCGAACCGATATCACCAAATGTGATCACATAAGACATTACTGCTGACCTTTTTAAGGAATTAATAACCTGCTTAAGGAATGAAATTCTTACTTAACAACTACTCACTTAATCATTTTCAGAAGAGATATAAATAAGTACATCTATCAAACTACTGTTATTAGTATAGTAATAGTTTGAATGTAAAGTTTTGAATTATTTAAAATTATATTTTAGCCTTCTCATTTCCATAAGCTACATATTTTCATCTTCATCAAGTTTTAGTAGGATTTTAATGCAACTTTCATTGATATACTCTAAGATTTCAATAGAACACATCGTTTTGTACGAATGCACTAATACGCTTACAGTAACTGTATATATATTCAAACAAATATTTATCCATTTACAACAAAAGTAATAATTTATTCCGAATATATAAATAATCTGGTTTATTTAATATCGACAATTTAATTGGATTATCACGAAACTAATTGAAAATAATTCACCATTATGTATTATAATTATTATTTATTTGCATATTTGTATAGCATAAATGACAAATTTTCTACCCTTGTAATTTGAGGACTTAATGAGCAATATAAAAAAGAAGGAATATGACTTGGATCATACACATCGACAAATGTAAAAAAACAATTTCACTAGTTGAGATCATGTATCCATTGTAGCTAGACCACCATGGAAAACCTGGAAGCAGTGGACGGCCCTTTCGTCTTATTGTGGGACTACTCAGCAGTGCGCATCCATGACCTCCCCTCTCGAGATTCGTGGATAGGTCCTGCGTTTGAATCTCGAGAGTGGAGGTCATGGATGCGCACTGCTGAGGAGTCCCGCAATAAGACGAGATGGCCATCCAATGTTTCCAGGTTTTCCATGGTGGTCTAGCTTCAATGGACTCATGAACTCAACCATTCAAATTACCATAACATCCATAAATCTCTTCTGATAGTAAAAACCATTGCTTAATTACTATTATTTATGTTGCTAGATATCATTTGAGTAAGTAAACGATTTAATTTTATTTAGTGTGATTTATGATGCAGTACAAAAGTGATTACATTTTCTTTATCATTGATGTTACTTTAAAAATAAATATACTGATTAATGCTACTGTTTTTTACTAAGATCATTTGACTTTCAAGCTTCCTTTTAAGACACTGATGTTAAGTTATGTAATCATTTTGATGAAGTTTTTGTTCCCGAAGCTGGATTTTTTGGTCGTGGGGCTTTCATCGTTTTTCTGAACGGCATCATCGGCACTTTTATATGCAAACTGCACTGATGATGTCGTTCAGAAGAACTATGAAAGCCCCACGACCAAGCAATTCAACTCAGAGAACAAAACTATATCACATTCATCCACCTGAGCAACAAATTTTCTCCATAATCTCAAGTATTTAATCATTGTTCAGTTTTTTGTTGATATAGTATTATACTTATGAACAATGTACGTTTAAGAATTTCATGTTTCCATTTGTTATTCAATGATATAACATTAAAAACCCATGAATTTTTGTGATTCAATGTTTTCTATAAATGTTTGAATGTAGTATGGTGGAGAGTTTATTTATTTATTTTCCTATCTTCATTTATCTTAGTCGAAGATAATAATAATAAATTCTGACCTGGTGCTTTAGAAATAGTATTTATTTATCTAAAAACAAGTTGACGGCCTGCTTGAATATTTGGCCTACCTGTTCTTGTTATCTAGATATTTCAACAAGTTATCTGTTCTTTTTGTTTGTTTTAAAACATCATTATGTCTTTTAATTGCATAACCTATGCAAGCGCGATGACGAGAAGTTTACCATCTTTCACTATACAACTCACAACTTCATGATGGCTGAAAATATGCATTGAAAAGAATAAATATTATTCTGATGTCGATTCCTCAACTACCAACATCTAATTGGTGATCACTCATTACATATCATTAGGATCGATCAAGAAATAAGAAAAGAAAACTTATTGAAATACTTTGTGCTGATAATTCTATATTGTACCAAAAATATAATATTGAATAAAGCCATTAATAATAATAATGGTTAGCGTAAAATGTTTCCAACCTACTCCTCACTTTTGATAAGTAACTGTGGTATAGACTAGATTATTAAAATATTACTTAAAATAAATGTTAAATGTTAGTAGTAAAACATTTTACCGTGTATAAATAGGCAAGTCACAAACTTAATATCACGAATATGAATTTATCATAGTTGAACTATTATCGATAATCGATTAATAAATATTAATCTGATCATAATTAACAACTTACCTGAAGTTGGAAATGTGATCTACAAGATTTCAACAAACTTGATATGAAACTGAAAATATCTTCGGTATTCACATTCATACAATGTAAGTTAGTTTAGGATGACTGTCTAGTAAAATTATTAAATATAGACGTTAGACATTAACGCCGTTGGATGCCGGCTCAGTGGTCTAGTGGTTAAGTGCTCGCGCGCGAAGCCAGTAGGTCCTGGGTTTGAGCCCCGCGTGGTGCGGGATCGTGGATGCGCACTGCTGAGGAGTCCCATACTAGGATGAAACGGCCGTCCAGTGCTTCCAGGTTTTCAATGGTAGTCTAGCTTCAACTGACTCATGATTTCAACTTGTAAAATTTGTTAAACTCTCCACAAAAACCCATTCTGATTATAATCAACTGCTCACTAGTGACTGACTTCAGGAAAATCTCCTGGAGTTCTAGTGAGAAGTCGTTACCAGTGGAGTTCAACCAGCTCTGTTGTGAGATAGGAACTCACTGAAGACAATGGTGTACGGTAGC